ATAGTCATGAGACCAAAATTGGTATTTGCTCAAATATTAACGTTCCAACAAGTAAAATGAGTATTTGAATCCCTTGTGTGAGCATATAGCAGAAACCGTTTCAAATTTAAATGTGAATTGGGATGAAAGGTTAAACCACTTTCACACATATATATATATATATATATATATATATATATATATATATATATATATAAACAATGTTTCAGGTGCTAGAATAGTAGAATATATTAGATATCACTTGGTCAAAAACTTTAGTTAATATCATTGTGGAGAATTCAAAATTTTTCTCATTTAAAAAGTGAGAGATTGGTTTGAGCAAGAGCGGGTTATTGATTTTCTTGGTTTGAGTCGATTGATATGGACAATCTAGATTGATTTACTTTCTTGTAGTCCTTTATCGGAAAGGGTCACAAGATAGGGTTTGTCTAGTACACATGTACCTCGGATAGTGACTGCAGATTTCCTTCCTTAATGAAAAAAAAAAAAAAAAAAAAAAAGAGAAGATTGGAGCAGGTTTTGATGAAGTGTATGATAACATTGGAGGGCATATGGAATGATCTTCTGGGAAATGTTATAAGCCTTCTTTTATGTTTAGTCAAGAAAGAAGAAGGGCAAAGGAAATTTTTGTTTTTAGTTGATTTAATTTTGTTGCGAATTTGTGCCCTTTTTTTGGTCTGTCATGTTTTTGTTTTCTTCAATGTGCTGGTAATAAATTCATTCTTAAAAAAAAAAAAAAAAAAAAATCCTTGAAGAATTCTACATTATTAAAAATTTATGGGGCGTTCTATTATAAATAGAAATTAATATAATAGTATCATTTTCTAGACATGATGTGTTGATTGCTTACCAATTCTATGGGCAATTTCTTCCTTAAAGCAAGACAGAAATTTCTCACTAATACAACAGCAAGTATTTTCCAATGTATAGTAGTAGTCATACAGGGCCGGATTTTAGGTTTTTGGGGCCCTGTTCTGGTAAATAACTGAGGCCCTCCAAAATCATAATTTTTAATATGCAAGTTTCGAACCTTTAACCTCCCAGTAAAAATACAATAAATACACATTGCTATCATCTCTTCATAGAACCTTTTAAGTTTAATTGAAAACTTTTAATTTTTATATCTAAACTAGCTCAGTAAATATTAAATATTGGACCTCTAAAATTTGGGGCCCCTCTAAAACTGGGGGCCCTGTGCGGTAGCCCAGCTTGCACAGCCTAAAATCCGGCCCTGTAGTCATACCTCATAAACATCCATTTGTACATCCCAATGGCCAAAAAGTTAGAAAGATTTGAAGTAGTCATTGCATTTTAAGTTGTTGATCAAATAAAGTGAAGTCAATTTCTTTGTATGTATTAAATCATAATATTGATTAAGGGATAAAGAGAAATGGATTGGAGGACGAACAACTAATTGTATTCCCTACCTATACAACAAAGAATACTATGCAAAGTGTCTGCACGGGTTTAACTCACTGGTTCAATAGGCAGTATTTGAAAGAAGAGATCAAAGTTTGAATTCGACGGCGGCATGCAATGTGGGATTATGTCCAAAGTGAACAGATTCCTTGTGCGCACCGGCATTTGACCATATCTATTGAGTCATTAAGTCATGGTGATTTACATTCTCCCAAATACTCTATCAGGTTATTGAGTTGGGGATTCAACCTTGTGAGAGAAGTATTATGCAACATGATTTAGTAATGTGTTCTAAATAAATAAAAAATTATTATATACTAATCAATGCCCGCTTTGGTTCTTTTGACTTTTGTTTTGTGGTTTTCTTAATTACCCAATAAAATTAAGAATTGATAAGGTTAAGGTGATTGCATAATATTGAGAAGACATTGAAACGCAAAGGAAGTTGAATAATGTCATCATTTGTTAACTTGCCTAGAAAGTTGTATAGAGACTATTTAAATTACTTCCGTGGGTTGACCATACTCTCTTTAACAATAACTTTTATTTCTTTAACACATATTTTATTAAGATAATCACATCACAACATCATGATATATCAAAATATACTTTTAATTATATGAATTATTATAACATCCATAAATAAATAGAAAATAAATAGTTTTATTATAAGAAAAATGACATTTTCTCCTTATAAGTTTCACTTAATATTTTTTTCATGATGTGATTTATAAATATTGGGTGATATTAATTGACCGACCACACATAATGTACCCATCGTCGATCTATTAGTGAATTTATGATCTTTTTGTTAATTTTTTGTAGTGACATCTCTCTATACGAATTGAATGATGTGTTTCAATATGTCTTAATTAAAAAATTTAAATTGATAATTGGACTGTATATTTATATTTATAGTTACATATTAAATTATATGCTCAAAAATTTATTGTAGTGTGAACAACCAGCAAGAGGTTTACATATGGATTATGAGAAGTGACAGTGAAATCTCAACAATTTAATTGAGTGTGAAATTGACAAGGTACTTGATTGCTAGGTAATTAGAACAGGTCTGCACATCAACATCATTGTCGTGTTGATGTTTAATTAGGGCATCCTCAATAATTGAGAATTTTACCCCAGATTTTTGTGGACCCCAACGTCCAACTCATCATCCACTATCTCATTCAATCACAAAATCTCTTCTTCCCATTAGTTTTAAGTTTCTTCACAACTTTTTGTGGACCCACCATTTTATTTCCATATTTTATTTATTTATTTGATTTATAATTGTAAAATAAACATAAATAATTAACATACATAACATATATATATATATATATATATATATATATATATATATATATATATATATATATATATATATATATATATATATATACTTAAAATTGCAAGCTTCCATTTGTTGGAAACTTAATTAAAATAATATTATAAAAATTATTATTACAATTTTTAGCAAAATTAAAATAAATTTATAATTATAAACTTTTTAATTTTTTAAATTATAATTTTATCATATACAAATTTAATATTAGAATTTAACAAAAAAAAAAAAAAAAATAGAACAAAGAGGTTGGCCTGGCCGTTGGTTGGCCAGCTTTAAAAACAAAACAAAAAAAGTACACGCTTGTCTGACATGAACTTGCAAATAGCAGGAGAAAATTTTTGTTAAAGTCTTGCCTTCCCATTTGTCAAAATCCAACCCAAAGAGATTTTACTATTCTAAAATGTGGTGTTAAACCCCTTATTGGGGATGCCCTTAGGCTGAGTTCTGTCCAAATTAAACTAATAGAAATATGTAATTTTATTACTTTTACGTACTGAAATAGTTGCTGCATAATAACGTTAATTTACAAGTTTCTTTCATTCAAATTCTTTAGGGTGGATTACGTACGAGTTGGTTTGTAGCATTTCTAGTTGCTATGGTTGCTTGGTACTCCAAATATTTGTGATGACTGACATGTTTTTTTTGTTGTGTTTATATGGAGAAAATTAATCTGAGTGATCTGAACAAATTAAAATTAATTAATTGAAGGAGACAAGATAATCTTGTAATTGTATTAATTGCTCAGAGAGAGTACAAAAGATGTTTCAATAAGACATTCGATGTCCTAACAAGATAAATTTAAGGTAATTTATATATAACTTCCCGACTATCGCCCACACAAATTGGATGTTACCTATTTAGGATGGGTGGTTAATTACAACCCCAATTGACCGCGTCACACAGCTTGCATAGGCCGACCTCGTGGGGTAGAGCTGACCCTTCAGCCTCGGGTCGAACTACCTTGGGCCGACCTCGTGGTCAGCCTTGTCTGGTTCAATTTGTCTTTTCTCGGGTTGGTTCGCTTCAATACGGGCCGGGTTACACCCTAACTTGAGTCTATACTTAATATATTCATAACTTTACGTATGAACTATATTAAAGATTGATTATTGACCTTCAAAAAAAAAATATTAAAGATTGATTACATCACAATTTAATAGTTAGACAAATTTGAGAGGGTGTTTGGAGCTTTCCACAATTTCAAATTAAAGGTCTAAAATAAACCCATTTAAGTATATCACTTTTACAATTGTGGTGCTCCAAACAAAACATTTTGACATGGTCATATAAGGATTGCACCCCAATTCTAAGGGCTCAACTGTTGTTATTTTAGAGAGTTGATGGCTAGAAAAAGTAAATCACACCCAACTGTTCTCATCTTGGAGAATTGGTAGCAGAAAAAGTAAATCACCTGATATGTTGCAATTATTTAAGAGCGTTTAATTAAAGACAATTAATTTCTTTAAAACAATCATACTAATTAACCAACTATTATGTAGTGTGATAACACGTCTGTTTCCATTCCAAATGAGTGGTCACCGGAATTGAACCATGGTAGTGAGAGCATTAAAAAATAACTAGCTTTGAGGGAGAGTTCTTACTTTCATAGAATCTTTTAAACTTTTATCAACTTTGTACGAGTCTATTTCGCATATATTTATCTCTTGTTTATATGTGTGCTATAACTACTAGCGAAGGCTCTCAACCTTACTTTCTTATACTTGTATAACAGTCAACACTATTAGGATCAAACGCTTATCACTACGCCAAAAGCTATAGCTAGCACCAAGTGCACAACTTTATTTCCTTATACTTGCATTGAATCAACGCCACGTTTCGATTGTATGATGCTGGACTCGATTATCCGAGCCGCCTCCCAACAACTTAGCTTCTTGTTAATTCCATAAGACTAGTGACTAGTATCTTGTTATTACATATTACGTTTTCCATAAGACTAGTGACTAGTATCTTGTTATTACATATTACGTGTCATAATGCACAATCTCAATGAGACGATATTATGCCCAGATACATTTCCTATCATATATTTACTACTAAGTGTCTAAGGGTATGAATAAAATCATTTATTTTTGAGCTATCTCGAATCAAACTTCGACTCAAGCTCGAGTTTGAACACTTGAACCTAACGAATCGAGCTCGTGCAGCTCGAAAATAGATTTTCAAACTCGAACTTATCCATTATTAATTGAGCTCGAGTTTAATTCGGCTCGTTTACCCCCCCAGGAAAAACCCTACTGGCTAAATCTCTTTCCCGCTCTTTCATTCACTCCGCGCTAACCCTTATCACCAGTCAGGCAGTCACTGGCACTGCGACGCCATAGTCTTCGTCTCCGGCAGTCACAACCTGCCATATCCGCCGAGGGCTGAGATTCAGGCACGTAACGCCGCAAGCCTGCAACCTCTCAACACAAATCCACCATTTCAGCTGAGGTAATCTCTGGAGTCTCGAGATATATACCTTTTTCTTTCAATTTATAATTTATAATTCTTGTTTTTAAAAAAGGATGCCTGAAACTTTGAATGTTCCTTACATTCAATTGTGTGATCATTGAGGGAGAATATATTTGAAATTTGCTAAGAGCTATTGCTGCATCGAGGTGATTGTGTGTTTCTTACCAAAGTCCAATATGAGAAATTTAGAATACCAAAATTTGAACAAAGTAGTCCAAGAAAAACTTGTAAATAATGGTGCAAAGAGCCTCTACCAATTAACAGCACAACCCAAAACCTTACATGAAATATCCCAAAGCAGAGGGTATGGAAAGGAATAAATATAGCTATGTCTTTATGAAAAGTGGAATATGGAAACGGAGTTTGAGGATGAACCTTATGTCCAAATGATTTGTTACTGGCAACTCATAACAAAAATTTACTCTTATAGTCATAGAATGTCATGTAGTAGTTATCTTTTTAGTATGTTATATATATATATATATATATATATATATATATATATATATATATATATATATATATATATATATATATATATATATATATATATATATATATATATATAGAACAGTTTGATATTCAGTCCTCAGAAACCTTTGCAAAAAGAAAAAAGAAGATGAAAAAATTCAATCCTTAGAAAGGCACCTCTGTTTTCATTCATAAATTGACATTTATTTGCTTCTCATATATGACTATCTTGGAGTATGAATTTAAAAAATAAAGTGCGATGCAGAAATGCTTTGGTTTCATTTATCATCACTTTGAATATTAACAAAATTTTCAGTGCAAGTTTGCATTTTTGGATCCAGATTTAAAAAAAAATAATAATAAAAAAGTGACCTTTTTCCTTTGCATTTTAGATTTAGCTGCAGAAGTACTAATTTTGAACAAATGGGTACTGATTTCATATGATTGGATTTTTTTTGGGGAAATTCTTGGCTGTTTATGTTCAACTAATCAGCTTTTGGGTGGCTCTTATTTTGTTATATTGATAACTTAAGGTATATATCTTGTGTTCATATTGAAGGGTAACACATTTTTTGATAGTACTTTTTATATTTGCATGTTTCCCTGCGTTTTGTATCATATATTTTGGAAATTGCCATTTCCTTATGTCTTCATTTCCTGGTTCCATACTACCTAGGGATATCTATGGGTATACTGTGCTGAATAGTGAATCTGTGAAGGCGTCATCTTTTATTCTTATTATATATAACATCTTAAATAATTCCTCTTATTGAAAATCCATAGTGATTCTTGGCTTGCAATGGCAACATCTTTCCAAGCAAATCTAGAGGTATCGGGGTGCATTACAAAGTCGATGATTCCATGCCAAAAATCATATGTCTGTGGCTCCAGTTTATGTTTTCCAGAATCTCGATGCTTCTCAAATACTCTTTCACAATTATCTCTGAAGATGCATCCTTCAAGCAAGAGAAACACTAGCATCATGTGCAACAGCCAAATTAACAGTTCAGAGGATAAGGTTGGCGGTCTTACATATAAGGATGCTGGGGTTGACATTGATGCAGGCTCAGAACTTGTCAGGAGAATTGCCAAGATGGCACCTGGAATTGGGGGCTTTGGAGGTCTCTTTCCTTTAGGTATTGGTTTATTGCCATAGTCTGTTCTAGTGAATACTTATAGGAACCTTCTTCATTTTGTACTATCTTGCTAAAATCTGTAATACTTACTATATTCTCTCAAAGTGGGCTTTTTTGTCTTTTCTTTTTGTTATTGAGCCTATTATACTAATAGCATAATCGCTTATCAGGGGATTCATACCTTGTGGCTGGCACAGATGGAGTGGGGACAAAACTAAAACTTGCATTTGAAACAGGAATTCATGAGACTATAGGGATTGATCTGGTAAGTTTTCTGATGCAATTTTTACTATTACTTTAGATGTTAGCATATGCAACACGAAAGTTAACAAGACATTTACTTATCAGGTTGCAATGAGCGTTAATGATATTGTCACCTCTGGAGCAAAACCTTTATTTTTCCTTGATTACTTTGCAACAAGCAAACTTGATGTTGATCTTGCAGAAAAGGTATATGCACTTATACCCCTTTTAAGAATTTAAGTAGGTTATGGAGTTTAATATAATTCTTATGAATTTATTTAATTTTTTCTTTATTTTGCTACTAGGTTATAAAAGGTATTGTAGATGGTTGCAAACAATCTGATTGTGCTCTTTTGGGTGGAGAGGTACCTGTCATTCTCGTCATATAAAATATGCTTGAAGAAATATAATATTTCTGGTTGCGCAGTTGTGTTAAATGGATGAAGTTAATTTTCCAGACTGCAGAAATGCCAGATTTCTATGCAAATGGGGAGTATGATCTTAGTGGTTTTGCTGTTGGCATCGTGAAAAAGGATTCAGTTATTGACGGGAAAAACATTATTCCTGGAGATGTTCTCATTGGACTTCCATCTAGTGGTGTCCATTCAAATGGATTTTCCCTTGTTAGAAGGTTTGAATTACACGATTTTTCTTTTTCAATTCTGCTTCTTGGTATAGACTTCGTTTAACAGTATGACCTAAACCCCATCCCTGCTACCCGTAACACTAAAAACAGTACTATACTTTCAGGGTAATTACGCAAAGTGGCCTTTCTTTGAAAGACCAGCTTCCTGGCAGCCCTATTACCTTAGGTGAAGCTTTGATGGCCCCAACTGTCATATATGTCAAGCAGGTAAAACTATAAATGCTGTATGCTTTTTAATGCTTTGTTTTGGATAAGATGATAATGGTCTTTTGTCCTTGTAATTCTACTTAAGGTACTTGACATCATTAGTAAAGGAGGGGTTAAAGGGGTAGCTCACATCACGGGAGGCGGTTTTACTGATAATATACCTCGAGTGTTTCCCAAAGGCTTGGGAGCTATCATTCATAACGATTCCTGGGTAGTTCCTCCCGTATTCAAATGGATTCAAGAGGTGACACCCTTTTCACGACTTGAATCTTTTTCTATTGTTACATAAGCTCTAATTCTGCATTCTTTTTTCATATAACATCAAGGCGGGTAAAATTGAAGATGCTGAAATGAGGCGTACTTTCAATATGGGGATCGGGATTGTCCTAGTTGTGACCCCAGACACCGCTCTTAGAATCCTCGGGGATGGATGCGAGTCAAGCAAAGCTTTCTGCATCGGTGAAGTAGTAAAAGGAGATGGAGTAAGTTACCATTAGTGCATAAATAAAAGATGATTTTTACTGATACAATTTTTTTTTGAATATTTTTCCCAGCTACTTTTGTTCATCTTATGTTCATGCTCATGCAAGTGAGTAAGTTGTGGAATGTATCTTGTTACTCATGAATAATTTACCAATTGGTAGAAATAGACTTGCCATTTGAAAAAAAAAAAAGTTTCTTTTCATCCAACTTGTTGAACACCAGAAAAGCTGGGGAAAGTAGTTCATGTTTGATCTAGTAGTTCCGATTACAAATTTTACTATTTTCCATTGCAATATATAAAAGTCTTATACATTAATTATTTATATCAGTTTTCTATGCGCATTGTGATAATGTCCCATGTTTAATGTCCCATGTTTATTTTCACATAAGTACTTTAAAGTATATCAAGACAATTATAACATAATTGTATGAGTATGATTGAAACCAAATACGGGATATAGGGGAGATCAAATAAAGATTAAGGCATAAGTGTATATTAGACTAATGGTGTAGTTATTAAGGCATAAGTGTATATTAGACTAATGGTGTAGTTATAATTCTATATTAGACTTTAATATTAGAATTAGACTAATGGGTTATAATTCTATAATAAGGATTTGTGGGTTAGAGTTCTATTAAGACTTTAATATTAGAATTCTATAAGGATTTGTGTACTTTTCTTTTGAAGTAAGATCAATTTCTATTGATTTGTGTGTCCAAGTTTGGTGAGTGTTTGAGTTTACACTTATTGCTCAGATTTTTATGGTATGCATGCATGTACTGTAATGTAACCATTTTGTGAAGGCAATTGTAACGGTCTCTCTTTCACATAAGATTAGATATAGTCAAAAATCACCCAAAATTCATATTGGGAATGCTCTAAACTAAGACAATCAAAATTGACAAATTACAATAAAGTTAACAGATAGACGTAGCAGATGAGCAATATAAGGGTATCGATATACATATTCAATTAATTAAAAATTTACACATCCGGTATAACAACTCAACTTATAAAGAAAAAACTTAGGTAAAAAGATTATTATTGACATGATATATTACAAGCTGACCATCACATTGATTATCAGCGCCAATGAATTTAATCACCTCTAAAACACGAAAATAATGGACAGAAACAATGCCAAAACCCATTCTTTTTCTTCACGAAAATAATGGACAGAAACGATGCCAAAACCCGTTCTTTTTCTTTCCCTGCAAGAAAGTAAAAAAACGCAATGAATAAAGAAGCTGGAATTTGTTTATGAATGGTTAGAATCAAGCGTTTACCACTACGTCAAAAATTATAGCTCACAGCGAAAGGTGTAACTTTATTTCTATATATAGTCACATTTTCAAAGACAAGATGTTGGACTTGACCCTTTACGGGCACAAATGAATAATTAACATAAAGATATGATACCTTGACTCCTAGTTCTGTAGCTTCCATAGGTGGCTCTTCTAATGAAGTCTCATGTGTGACTCTTACTTACACTTTCTCATATAAGAATTCATAATTAATATTACATTTCTCGGTATAAATATTAATATTCAGCATGTCTCACCGACAAAGATTCAAAAAACAATCCCACACAAATTAGCCTTTTAAAATTTGGTTATGAAGATTTCTTTTCTTTTTTAAAAGGGTTTTAAAAATTGGTTATGAAGAATTTAAATTTAAAAACAAAAAAAAAAAAAGGTTAAACTCTCTCAATGGATAAACTCAACGGATTAATTTATCCGTTGAGGGAGTCGGTGTGTTCAAAATTTTTTATTCTCTCCCTTAAGTCGGCGCATGGTATCTCCTCATATTATCACCGTGTGATTTCAAAAACATAAGACCGTTGAAGCGCCTATTCCACAGCTTTAAAGGGGGCGCCATCTCAACTCTTCTATTCGGGCTTGTTCCTTTGTTTCTAGATATAGTCATATAGAGAAAGATCTCAGAGAGAGTTGGAAGAAGAAGGACTGCGAGATACCCAGAAAGAAGAAGATTTGATTTTCCGAGGCATATCTGAAAGAATGGCTTCAAGACCCGTGGGTGGTTCAACAGCAAAATAGAGGAGGTAATCATATATCTGATTTCCAAGATTTTATTACTACTATGATTCTTTAATCTCGCTCGATTGATGGGTTTATAAACATGAGAAAGTTACCACTTTTGTTTGTTGTGATTATCTGGAATTCTTTCAAGTATATTTTTTTGAAGTTGCTTTGATGATAGCACCTTTATATGCATCAACAAGTTCTCTTATTCTCAATGTTTCAGGAGTGTTATATGTGCCCTCACTTCTTTATGTATATGTCTGTGACTTATGCTCTAGATTGATATTTCACATTATATCTCTATTTTGCCTCTTTTGTGTGGATTAGCACTTATTATATTCTTTTGCATTTCAGATCAAACAGAGCTATAGTGTGTTCCTGGTAGCTTTGACCTGGTAGCTTGTGGACTGAACATTAAATTACCGAAGGAGAAGATTGAAGATATTGATGCTGGAGATGTGTACAATGAGATGGCAGTTGTGGAGTATGCAGAAAACATTTAAAGTTCTACAAGGAAGTGAGGTAATTACCTTCTGTCATTTATACTCTTTGATTAATGAATTTTAGCTTCTCTAAATGTTAGATGTGTTTATTGCATAATGCTAGATTTTATGTTAGGATTTTTTCAAAATACTCTCTTTATTCCATAAAATGATTTTTCAGAATATTCTCTATAATCCATAAAATAATTTTTTAAAATACTCTCATTAGCTCTCTCTTTATCCATAAAATAATATTTCAAAATACTCTATTTAGCCCATAATAATGATTTTTTAAAATACTCCCATTAACTCTCTATTTAGCTCATAAAAAGATTTTTCAAAATACTCTCATTATCTTTCTCTTTATCCCATAAAATGATTTTTTAAAATACTCTCTTTAGCCTATAAAATGATTTTTCAAAATATCCTCTCTAGACCATAAAATGATTTTTCAAAATAATCTCTAGACCATAAAATAATTTCTCAAAATATTCTCATCAACTCTCTCTTTATCCCATAAAATAATTTTTTAAAATACTCTCATCAGCTCTCTCTTTATCTTATAAAATAATTTTTTAAAATACTCCCTTTCATCCATAAAGTGATTTTTCAAAATACTCACTAGCCCCATAAAATTATTTTCAAATATCTCTTGCTAGATCGCAAAACCTACACTCCCATGGCTCGCTTGGATAGTTGTCTCCTTATTTCAAAAAATAATTTTTCAAAATACGCACTTTAGCACATAAAATGTTTTTTTTTTTTTTTTTTTTAAAATACTCTCATTAACTCTCTCTTTATCATATAAAATGATTTTTTTAAATAGGGAAAATTGTAAAAAGTGCCCCTCTATAATATGCCAATTATCAATGTCACCCCTGAATTATGAGTGGTGTAAATATTGTCCATCAATTATCAAAATGGTGCACATATAGCCCTTCCCGTAACGGACATGTGATTTCCCGTTAGTGTACGACACCGTTAAGTCGGGATTAATATGTAATTTAGTTATTTTTTCCCTCCCTGATTCGAAGTACCAGCGATGGACAGCGGTGGGGAACCACAGGTCCGTTACGGGAGGGGCTATATGTGCACCATTTTAATAATTGAGGGGCAACATTTACACCACTCATAATTCAGGGGTGACATTGATAATTGACATATTATAGAGGGGTATTTTTTACAATTTTCCCTTTAAAATACTATCTTTAACTCTCTCTTTAACCCATAAAATGGTTTTTTAATATACTCTTTTTAGCCCATAAAATGATTTTTAAAATACTCTTTTTAACCCATAAAATGATTTTTAGAATACTCTTTTTAGCCCATAAAATGATTTTTTAAAATACTCTTTTTTGTCCATCAAATGATTTTTAAAAATACTCTCATTAGCTCTCCATAGCCCATAAAATGATTTTTCAAAATATTCTCATTAGCTTTCTCTTTAACCCATAAAATGATATTTCTAATTACTCTTTTTAGCCCATAAATGATTTTTAAAAATACACTCATTAGTTCTCTCTGTATCCCATGAAATGATTTTTTAAAATACACTCTTTAGCCCATAATTTTTTTTTTAAAATACTCTAATTAGCTCTCTCTTTATTAACTTATAAAATAATTTTTCAAAATAATACTCTCTTTAACCCATAAAATAATTTTTAAAAATACGCTCTAGCCCATAAATTAATTTTTCAAAATACTCTCATTAACTCTCTCTTTATCCCATAAAATGATTTTTTGAAAATACTCTCTTTAGCCCAAAAATTAATTTTTCAAAATACTCTTATTAGTTCTCTCTTTATCGCATAAAATGATTTTTCAAAATACTCTCTAGTCCATAAAATAATTTTTAAAATAATCTCATTAGCTCTCTCTTTATCCCATAAAATTATTTTTTCAAAATACTCTCTTTATTACATAAAATAATTTTTTCAAAATACTCTCTATAGCCCATAAAATAATTTTTTAAAATTTCCTCATTAGCTCTCTCTTTATCCCATAAAATGATTTTTTTTTTAAAAATACTCTTATTAACTCTATTTTTATCCCATAAAATGATTTCTCAAATTACTCTCATTAGCCCTTTTTTTATCCCATAAAATAATTTTTCAAAACACTCTTATTAGCACTCTCTTTATCTAATAAAATGATTTTTTTTCAATAATTTTTCAAAATATTCTCCAACCTATAAAATAATTTTTCAAAATATTTTTATTAGCTCGCTCTTTATCCCATAAAATGATTTTTCAAAATACTCTCTAGCCCATAAAGTAATTTTTCAAAATAATCTCATTAGCTCTCTCTCTCTCTTTATCTTATAAAATGATTTTTCAAAATACTCTTATTAGGTCGCTCTTTATTCCATAAAATGGTTTTTTAAAATACTCTCTTTAACTCATACAATGGTTTTTCAAAATACGCTCTAGCCTATAAAATAATTTTTTAAAATACTCAAATTCACTCTCTCTTTATCACGTAAAATGATTTTTCAAAATACTCTCATTATCCCTCTCTTTATCCCATAAAATGATTTTTCAAAATATTCTGCAGATCATAAAAAGATTTTTCAAAATACCCTCTTTAACCAATAAAATGATTTTTTAAAATATTCTCTAGCCCTTAAAATGATTATTCAAAATACTCTCATTAGCTCTCTCTTTATCCCGTAAAATGGTTTTT